GCGCCGAGTTCAGGGCCAGGACGTGTGTCGGCGTGCACCTCGAGACGGAGATTCTCAAGAGCACTGCAGAACGAGAACAAGCAACAGCGTTTCCAAAACATTCCACAGGGACGGCGTCGGCATCGCAGTGCTGAAACGGAGTATAGGTGGTTCCCCTCGGCTGCAGGCAGATGATGTGGATTGCAAAGTACGAAGTGCTTGCTGGAAGTAGACGAGCCAAAGTTAAAAGATATTTTCACACTCAGATGGAAAGGGACGTGGCTCGAGTAGCACTTTTGCCAAGCGTTGCATCCGTATCGGAAGACTTCTTGGGAAGTGAGCTGAGAGTGATTTGTGTTTCCGCAACGGCAGCCAAAACTGCTGTTGAGAAGGCATGTAAGGCGCCTGTTTCATTGAAGGGAGAAGTAGTAATTTTCAGTTTGTAGTAATCTTCAGCACTCGTCCGAAGCAGGAATTCACTGGCTGAAGTTAAATATAAGCGATTTAAAGGGATTCTCTATTGTATATTTGGCGCTTCCCATATGTTTACTCTGGGCGAAGCAATGAGGAGGTGGGAGTGGGGATGGCTGTTTTTCGGAGCTAGCCCACGATATTGTCCCATGGCGACAGTGATGCGAAAAATTAAGTTAAAGGATATGTATCAGCTGAGTAGGCACAACATTTACCTTGCGAAACATAAATTTCACTTAAAGAACATAACATTTAGCTAGGAGGCAAAGTTTGGGAGCAAATGTATACAACAGGCGTGAAGTTGGTACCAAAATAAATAGCGTCACTCAGCAGGGTAGCCGATGCAAACACACATTTTGCACTGTTCTGTCAACCGGATGTTTACTGTTAAGAATGTCCACTGCTTTATAAAAGTTTGGTGTTTGCAAAACTGATGGAAACGTCTGATTCCTGGGCTACGAAATTTTTCGAAAAATTTACGTGCCTTATGTTAGCACAGGCATTCGTGAACGCAGAATTGAATTTATAGAATCGCGTGTGAACAGAAAACACCCTGGCGCAGAAAACACCCTGGCGCGAAATCGTTATAAGACAGGTTCCGGATTCGGTTAGCAATAGAGAATTTTATTGAGTTGGGAACAAACGTTGTCGGCAGTGGG